ATATAAAGTGAATTAATCAAGTATGATAAGGATTTGAATATGGTTAGGTATTTGGATCCTATATATATATATATGATTAAGGCAATGAGAAGAGTATTTATAGGTTTTAAAAGGCGCTTTGAGGAATAAAAATAATGCAAGTATAAGAAATGATAAAGAATAAAGTTATGTGAAAATAATGTTAAATATTCAGATTATGAAAATGTGATAAATATTATTAATCGATATAAGTACAAGTGTTATTATGATGTTTTTCATATAGATATGAAAAACGTAATGGAGTAAAAAAATGAATGAAATGATTTAGATTGCAAGGAGATTTTGATTTGTGAAGGAATAAAGAGGTAAGGAAATTAAATGATAGAGTTTAAAGGTTTAAGAATGAAAAGGGTTATGATGAGGTGTAAAGTATAAGTTTGGTATAAAAGTAATAAATTTTCAATTATAAGTGGAAATGATAAAGAGTTATGAATTTTGTATCAGAATTTCAGTAGAGACTAAATTTGGAGGTTTATGAAGAAACTGATTAAGTTAGTATCCTTTATCATACTGAAGTAAATATTTCTTGGATAAGTATGTAAGGTTATATGAAAAGATTGTTGGATTTTGTAAATTGTATGTCTTAATTATATCTGATGAAGATTTAAGATTATCTCAATGTTGTGGAAATCTTTGAAAATGTCTTAGGAATTTAAATTAATTGTAGCATTGATATCTATGCATAGACAAATAGTGAGTTTAACATATGATTCATACTTTAAAAAGGGTATGTATGATTAAGTTCAAAGAATCATGGGAAAATTATTTACCTTTAGTAGAATTTGTTTATAATAATAATTATCAATTGAGCATTAAGATGACTCTGTATGAAGTTTTATTTGGGAGAAAATGTCGGACATCATTAATTTGGTTCAAGTTAAAGGATCATAATTTTATTTTCCAGGATTTATTGAAAGTGGTTGAGGATAAAGTAAAGATAATTTCAAGATGACATCTAATCGACAGAAGTATTAGGCAGACTTGAGGCAGAAATAAATTGAATTTTATGAAGACGATAAATTTTTCTTAAAGTATCGTATTAGAAAAAAAATCATGCAAAGGGGAGAGTATAATAGAGTTTAAAAGATCGAAAAAAAGAATGTCGGACTAAGTTAACCAAGTGTAACATGTATTGGTTTAAGGTTGTGTTTCTTAACCATGTAAATATAGTAAAAGAGATAAGGATTTATTTATATGTATGAAGGAAACTTGAGATATATTTGAATGATAGTATTCTCTCTAATCAAGTTGTTAAAGATAAGCATGTTACTTTTGAGATGATAAAAAGAGTATTGACATCGATTTCAAAATTGATATGAGTAAAATTTAGAAAGAAAGGTGTATAATAATTTGGATGAAGATGGTATAAGAATAAATGTTTGGTTTATGTTGTAAGTCATTAGAGATTGATGAAAGAAATCAACGGACTCATGATGTTGAGTGATAAGGATTGAGATTACTGTATGGATGGAACCTTATTATTTCCATGATGAGCGACATTATATTTATACGAATTTATAAAGATTAAAAGGTGTAGAATCGAATGAGTGAAAAGATAGGAATGAATGTAATTCCTTGTTGATTGAAAATAAGTTTAGTAATTGCAGCCACGAAGGGAAAGTTAAAGACTTAAAGTCAGATAATATTGTCATAGGAAGAGTTATTATTGAGTTTCTTTAATGAGTAGTAGGTTCGCAAGTAAAGAAATATATCAAAATAGTTTTTTTGTGACATTGTGTAAAAGAAATGTTGGAAACTATTAAGTTAGTTGAATAGAAATATTGAGATTTTGTATGGACGGATTGGATCAAAAAAGTTGAAGAAAAGTGAAAAAAAATTAAGATAGTGGATAGTTAACAGAAGTTCTATATATATAGTTAAAAAAATGGAATTTCTAGATAAGTGATAAAGTATTTATTAATGTCTTGTTCCGAATAAGATTCTTTGTATAGTATAGCTCAGTCATACATTCATTGGACCTTATGGATCTTTAAAAGAGGTGGATCTATAGTATAATATGGAAGTACAAATATGATATAAGTAGACAGTTCCCATCTATTTGTACAGTGAAAATTCGAGGACGAATTTTCTTAAGGGGGAGAGATTTGTAACATCCCAAAATACGGGTTAGTGATTAACGTATAAAACTTCAGAGTTTGGTGATTGAAGTAGGATATTTGAATAGTTTAATGATTTGTTCGGAAATATTTCCTGATTCCTGAAAGTTATTTGTAATTATCAAAGAAATTAAGGGGCAAAATGGTCATTTATCATGAAAGATATTTTTTATCTCTTTATGAAGAGATAAACGTTGGGGGAGAGTATTTAGAAAACTCTTCTTCTTCTTACCTTCTTCTTCTCCAACGTGCAGAGCATAAGGTAAGGGTTTTCTGATTTGTTGATTATTTGTTAAATTAAAGGTTAGGTTTGGATCATTAGATGATAACTAAGCTTAAGGAAAGCATAAGTTATCTTATAATCAAAAGATGAAGAAGTTATAAGAGATTTAAGAAAACGAGTTTTTATATGAAATCATAGAAAAGAGTTGATAAGTTGAATTTGAAATTAAATTTGACTTGTCATCATGCTAATTAAGGAATATGAAGTATTAGAATGGTATTTAGAACATATTGAAATTTGAGTATGATTCTTGAATTACATATGAAGGATAGGATTTTGAAGTTATAGATGATTTTCATGGATATAAGTTGGTTTAAGTAATGGTAGTTGAGTTTAATGACATGATAGGGGTTTAAAATAGAAGAATTAAGTGAAGAATTGATGATTTTTGGGGTTAAAATACAATTTCTGGGTAGAGGGAACCGATACCCTATGAAGGGAATCGATTCCCCCTCTTGGAAGAAAATTCCAGTATGTGCAGGGGGAACAGATTCCCCGGGAACAGATTCCCCCTGGGGGTATCGATTCCCCCCTAAATGAAAAAATGGAATTTGATTCATTAAATCGGTTTAAGTTGTTAACATCAAGGTTAAGGTTTAGGCTTCTGATAGTTGTTTTGAAATGTTATATTTATGTAGATATTGAGCCTAAACAAGTTCTGGAATAATCAAAGGATTAGAATTGATTCAAATCAAACAAGGCTAAGGTGAGTGCAATTTTAATTGTACTTATATTATTGAACGAACATTGGCTTGCGATGAGTCAATCATGGAGTTACTATGGTAAGAAGTGACTCCTAAAATGTTATTTGATTGGTGATTCTTATATGTGCATGAATACATGAAATGAGTATAGGTTATTATATATGTTACATAATATGCATATGTGATATATGCTATGAGACATGACCAGTGTGAAATGAGATAAGCTATGTGGCTATATGAAATGATATATGAATATGTAATACGTGATACATGTGATATGATATGAAATGACATATGAATATGTAATACGTGATACATGTGATATGATATGAAATACATTGTTACACATACATGTGGTATTTGATAGAAGAGAAAGAACAAGTGATGAGAAATGTATTCATAATAAATGCCCATAGTATATGATACGAGAGTTATAGGTATAGTTGGCATGCCAAGAGTCGAGGGTTACATATGTCCTATAAGACATATGATAGGTCCTACGGGACACAGATTACATCCTTCGGGATGACAGGTCCTTCGGGACACAGATTACATCCTCTGGGATGACATGTCCTTCGGGACACAGATGACATCCTTCGGGATGATAGGTCCTTCGGGACATTTATACGAGCTGTGGTGACATCATATGTGTGCATAACCTCAGTGTACTCGCATACCTCTATTCTCTATAATATATATGGGTAATACAATTGAAAGATAAATTAAAGTGAAAGTGGCACAAGAAGGTAAGTTTTACACGTACATGACATGCTTATATATGTTATCGTGTAATAGATACATGCATGTTGAAATGTCATGATCAAATGATAAGAATGCATATTCATGAATTTGTTGTTAAATGTTTGTTTATTGCCTCACTAAGTCTATGACTTAGCGTGTAAGTGATTTACATGTAGGTACCAAGAAACGAGAAGAGCAAGAATAGAAGTAGCAAGGACAGTATTATTACTAGAAGATCAGATCAGAAGTAATCGACAAAGTATGTATTTTGGTATGTATAGAGTGTTGGCATGTAATAAGTCGTTAATTACGAATACTCTGATGGAGTTTGTATTTTGTGGTCAATTTTATGTAAATTAACGTATTTTGCTTTAAACAAAGTTTTAAATTTCTCTCTTTTTCAAAAGAGTCAAAGTTTGAAAAGTCAATGTGACACCTCGGACTCTTATTCGAGTCGGGTACGGGTTGAGGTGTTACAGCTAATTTTTAATTTAATTGTAGGTTTACTAAATGATGAACTATTCAAATTTCAACTACTAAACTCATGTTCAATCGTTTTTAAATTTATGTTCAACATTGTTAAATTTAAATTTTATCTACTTATTAACCGTCACGTCAGTATACAATATTATTTAATGTCAGCATTTTTGTCCATATTATTTATTCGATGAATCAGTTTAGATGTTAACTATTTGTTTAATTATTTTTATTTTTAAATAAACTATTTAAAAAAATTGTTACGAATACTAAAAATATAGTTTTAATATTATATTATACCTAATTAAAACCCATTTGTCCTTTTCAATATACGCTTTATTAATTTACAGTACGTTAATTATCTTTGTTAAACGTGAAGATCAAAAATAATATATGATATAATATTATTATTTTAAAAAAAAAATAAGGTTAAAATCAGAAGATTGATGCATTATACGACCATAAAGAAAACTAGACATATTAAATTAGGATTGTTCTACACAATACAAACCAAAATCAAAGTGAATTTAATTCTATTGTAAAATAATTAATAAATATTAAATTCATTATATCTTTATACCCACTTTAATATTCTTGACTTTTTTGAAGTTTTATTTTAATAATTTTTTATACTGTCAATAAAATCCCACGTTATGATTTGGTTATTTATTTTTAATAATATCACTTAATTTACTTTAAATAAAAATATGTTGTAGCTCGTTCAAGTCCTTTTTGTCCAAGAAACGAACTACCTAAACAAAGTTTGGATAAGCAACATAAACAAGTTGCCACCTTATTCTCTGTAAGTCATCTAAATCATGTAAAACGCACCAACATCTAATTTCATACAATCGGCGAAGCGTTGTACTTGGTTAATTCGTGTTCAAGTTTGGAGTTTGGTATCCGTACGGGTTCTTGCTCGCCCAGTTCCATTGATCCCTGCACATCTCTTCGATGCCGAATTTCGCCCTGAAATGGAGACAGATTAAACCCTGTATTACTTCTAACATTATGTGCATAAAGATAAGGTTAAGTGTTGCGTGTATGGAAGTTCTTACTTCCAATTCAATTCACGTTCCGCCTTCTTTGTTGAAGCGTAAACGACTTCGACATCACCGGGTCGACGTCCGGCCATTACGAGAGGGATTTTCTGATGCAAGGTGATGAATTAGGCCATCTTAACAAAGATTCCAAAATAACAAACGAGTATAGCTCGAAATGTATGAAGACGGAAACGAAACAGGAAACGATACCTGCCCAGATGCCTTTTCGAATGCGGCAACCATCTCCAAAACTGATGTTCCCTTTCCGGTTCCTAAGTTGTAGACCTCACATCCTGTAACAGCATAGCTGATTACGACAGATTCCAAACATATTTCGCTTATACGTAGACAGTTAAGTACGAAATGGAAGGAAGTTTTACTTATTTTCGGATCTGATAGTTTACGGAGAGCAGCAATGTGGCCATCTGCTAAATCAATGACATGGATGTAATCGCGTACCTGAAAACAGACTAGTAATTGATCTTCTGATGAATAAGATTAAGGAACATGCGGTTCCTAGACATACTCGAAACCAATTTGGAAAAAACGAAACGAAAAACTTTACCCCGGTACCATCCTTCGTTGAATAATCGTTTCCGAACACAGTCAATGCCGGTTGCCTCCCAATAGCAACTTGTTGCACATAAGGCATGAGATTGTTCGGAGTACCCCGGGGATCCTCACCTATGTAGCCACTTGGGTGTGCGCCGACTGGATTAAAATATCGTAAAAGTATGATCTTCCATTCGGGATCAGAACGACAAAGATCACAACAGATCTCTTCTATAAAAAGCTGAAACACAAACGATACCCGATATGATTACAAGATGCTATAGGAGAAAACGTTAATAGACAAATACTACTGTACTCATAAGAGTTACATACCTTGGTTCGTCCATACGGATTCACTGCAGCCAAAGGGGAATCTTCGGTACACGGAACCTCCTTTGGCCAGCCATAAACCGTAGCCGATGACGAAAACACGAGCTGAAACGTATCAAGTAAGAAGATTGATCAAGTCATAAGACCCAAAATCACAGGCCAATTCATAACATGCTGAATCACATATAGCTGCTGAATTATCGCACATAAGGAAGGGAGAGAGACGTACATTTTTACATCCGTGTGCGGCCATCATCTCCAATAGCATGATCGTTCCGATGATATTGTTGTTGTAATAGAGTAAGGGTTCGTGTACACTTTCACCAACCGCTTTCAGTCCAGCGAAGTGAATCACAGCATCGAACCTACGACATAATACCGATCCAATAGCATTGACAGTTGAGAAAGAGAAAATGAAAAAAAAAACGGAAACAGAATACCGATCCAAACCGTACTTTGTCCGGGCGAAAATCTTTTCGAGTGCTGGTCTGTCCCGAAGATCCACCTGCAGTTGAAAAACAAATGTTCAAGCATTAGGAACATCCCAGATTTTTAAATCTGTATATCTTACATAAAAAATTCTTACATACATCCCTATATAAGACATATCTATAGATATACTACTTGAACTAGTTATGATATCAATTGTCGAAAATCTAATCTTATATATATATTATTCTAGAGAAAAACCATTATAATATCACCTAGTTTTACAACACAACATGTTGCTAGGTACAGCAATTCAATTATAGACTGAGCATAAAAGTTAAACCAATTAGGTTCCAAATTAGCAACAGAAACAAACTAAATAAGCCTTGCTTTCTCTTGCGACCAATGAAGCGGTCTCTCAGTACAACAAACAAAATATCTCATTTAAAATTGGAAAGAGCAAAAACCGACTGCAACTCAGTGAGTTAACTGTTGGACGAACCTGGTGAAAAGAAAGGTTTCCGGCGACTTCAGAGGCGAGTTCTTCAATTCTTTCGATAGCAACGTCGGAGGAATTGTCCAGATTATCAACGACCACCACTCTGTAACCCCCTAACAGCAGCTGCAACACCGTGTGGCTTCCTATATAACCGGCGCCGCCGGACACCAGAACGTTCTTCGACATGTCGATCCAATCAAAAACAGGAAACAGAGAGAGAATAAGAAGTTAAAGAGGGTTCAAAGTTATGAAAAAGAGAATGAAGTTTCGTAATGAATCAAAATATAGAGAGACAGCAAACGGTGGGATTTTTAGAGTATATATATGAAAAGAAATAAATAAATGGAAAGAAGAAGAAGAAGAAGAAAGGAAAGTACTGTGAATGAGAGACGGGGAGCTGAGAGGATGGGCCACGTGGTTGAGATTTTGTAGTGTTTCCAAGTTCTAATGGCGGTTTTTCCATATGTTTGGACCAAACTAACCCTTCTCGTACTCTGTTTCTGTCGTCTTCGGAAAGGGACATTCTCGGTGTTCTTAAAGTTCGAATATTATAAAAAATTTAATTAATTTAATTATTATATGAAAATTTTAATACTATTTATTCACGTTAACTAAATAAAGTTTTCAATTTACCATATTTGAAAGTATTCATAATTTCTAATTTAAAGATATTACTTTTTGAACTGAAAGTGTTGAATGAGAATTGGGAAACAAAATCATTAAAATCAAGAGAATCGTGCATCATATTAATAAATAAGCAAAATTAGCATGTCATTGAGATATTTATTACTATAATGGATTTTTCCATTGCCGCCGCTGTAGGAGGAAAGCGCAAAATCCTGACGTCCTCAACAGGACTCATGAATTATATGGCGTCTTCAAATTTCACTGTAGAAAATGGCCTGTCTAAAAAAATAATTTGACGGGTTCATTATTTGGGGAATAAAAAAAACTGAGACACATTATCCCAGCAATTTGGCTCAGAATAAATTCTTTGACAACTTTATTATATTTTAAGCTAATCTCAACCACACACAAGATCAAGAAAATAATTAAAAATAGTTATTTGAAGGTAAATCCTAAATATAATATTAATTCATGGAAATAAGTAGATTGCATAAATTGTTGACGGTTTACCTTTCTTATAAGTTATATAAAAATTGTGATTGAGGTAAGGTTTATCGTTAATCAATAAATATTTATGAGAGTCTAGAGGAAAGGAGTAGTGTAGGAGAAAAAAAAAATAAGTAATCTAAATTTAAGCAATAATAGAAAATATCCTAGAGTTCTTCCGGTTCTTCTAAGAGTAACAATATCTTAATCGTAAGATGATTGATGTTAGGTCTAAAGTCATCATATATGTTAATAGATTGAAAAATTGTATATATATAACTATCAACTGCCAGATTTTATTGTCAAATGTCACATCAAAGACAAAAATATATGAATTTTGATGAGTAATATGACAAAAGGTAATTTTGGAAACGGAGAAATATGTACTTCAGAAAATGACAAGATAAAAGGTAATTTTAAAGAAGATGTGAAGTTTCAAGAGAATTTTTAGAATTTCTATTAGAATTTATGATTTTCTATGAGTTTTTATTAGTGAAGGTCTTCTATGAAGAATAATAATATTAGACAGATAAATAATTAATATAATATAACATAAAAAATTATGTTTAAGTCTCATATATAATATCAAACATAAAATTTTCATATTTTATATAATCTGAATTAGAAATTATGTAAAAAATAAATTGTGAGATGGGTGCATGCATCTACAAGACTACAAGAAAAAGGGGGATGAAGAAGCTTAGGCTTGAAGAAGAATAAGATGCATGTTACTTTGGTTATATAAATATTCTCAAATTGCTAGCTTTTCTACATGCGAAAGCTATTGCATTTGCATATGCAAGCTTCTCTCTAGTATGTGCCATTCCAGGCATCAAAACAACAATAATTTTAAAATAAAAAATTGATTGAGCGGTGAGCAATTAAATGAAGGGTAAACTATGCCTTTAGTACCTAAACTATTAATTTTGATATGTTTTAGTGCATATTTTTTTATTTTTTTAAAATCATACCTAACATTTATTTTTTTATTTCATTTTAGTATCCCATCATTAAAAACTCAACGAACAGGATGACGTAGCACAGTGTTGATGGACAGACGACTAATTTGAATGGTGTACCACGAGAGAATAACGAGTTGACTAGCATAGTTTATTTTCAGGCCCATCAAACGGTAGACCATGGAGATTGGAGGATGAAGAAATCGAAGAGTCCATTGTCGATTTGGGGAAATTGAGGTATTTTACAATGAAACGGAGTTCGGAATCACGTACGTTTAAGGGGTCGAAAAGGTGCGAGCTAGAAAGTTTTGGCTTCATCGTCCAACGGATGGGTACTAAAATGAAATAAAAACTAAACGTTAGATATAGTTTTGAAAAAAAAAATTAGGTACTAAGACGGATCAAAACTGATAGTTTAAGTACTAAACGCATAATTTACTCTTAAATGAAGTATATATAAATCATTATCATATTATTTATTTATTAAGTTAAATAAATAAATAAATAGAAATAAAAATAGTACGTTGATTTATTAAATGAAACGGTTTGAATATAGTTTTGTTTAATTCATCCACAGATTCGTGTATTAATTCGTTTAAAAATCCGTTTATTGTTTATTTATTTATAAAATAATATTTAGTCATTTAAAATTGTTTTGTAATATTTATATTTAATTATTTATATATTAAAAATAAAAAATAAATTTATTTAATTTTTATTATTTATAAAGAAATTTTCAATAGTTCACTAATATATTTAATTATATATATTTTTCACAAACATTAATCAAATACATATAATTTAAATAAATAAATATAAATAAAATCTTAAATTTCTTAAAAGAAACAAATATATATTTAAACTTAAATATAAAAAATGAAATATGAGCATATGATTAAATCCGATTCATTTATAGCCCTCGTACCCACGAAAAATTCGTTTATGGATTGGGACAGTTTGATTTAAGGCTTACTGTTTCTGATTTGGTGGATACCACGAAAAATATAAAATATATAATTACAAGGAAAATTAATGATACATAGGTAGTATAGAATTTAGACTCTATCAATACGTCTACATGCAGAAAAAAATGATTTAAAAAAATGCAGAAAATGAATAGGGAAAAATAAATTATTTAACTTTGAAGTAAATAATTTTTTAAAATTGAATAAATTATAAAACTTAAAGTAGTTATGTGATTTAATTTCATTAATTTTAAGATTAAAGACTCTTAAAGAACAAGTAAACAAAAAAATTGGAGGTCCAGAGATAATTATAGTTTAAAACTGAAAATATCTTAAAAATGATTAAATCAACGAATTTTGAGAGGAACACGAATTTAATTATAATGATTTCAAAAATATTAACGAGCTAGAAATAATTAAGCTATCAAAACTTTGGGACTGTTACTTCTTCCATCTGCAATGTAACTTTATCCCAATCTATATGAATGTTGTCTACAATTTTATGATAATTTTAATCCTTAAATCCGAAACCCTTATTTGTGAATCCAAATTCAAAATTCTAAATAAGATATGTTATACTAATAAATTTTATTTATAAAATATCTTTGTCATCGACGTATAAAATAATAATATTGACTTATTCGATTATAACCGGTCAGTCTGCCAGTTCGTAGATGTTGGTATCTATAACTAAGTAATGATTATATGCACAATATTCTGCCAATGAAATACAGAGTGCAATTGCAGCCAAGTTCTGGGAAGAGATGTTTGCTGTAAGTAGGCATAGTATCTTAAAGTAACCAACGTGTTGCCACCATCTTCTCCAGATTGTTTATGGCCCAAGTCCCACATTATTAATTGTTTCTTTCAACTTATTATCAAAATTTGTAGTTGCAAAACATTAAATTTTGAAAATTCCAAGGCGGACACATTTTAACCTAAATAATCACCAAAATTGGCCAGATATTGATCTGCTTTTTATTCTTAAATGTGATACAAACCCAAGATTTACTAATTTGAAGTTTGGGACAAATTGTGATATCCAGGCAACTTTCGGCCAAATATTGAAACTCTTCAACACAATGTTCGCGGTGGCTCTACAAACGTCATTAATCATATGCTTAAAACAAATAATTCCAAAGAACAAATTCGAGCCAGTGAAATAAAGCCACATGCATACATCTTCTAGTTTCATTTGAACCTTACTGCATTCATCACAATTCCAAACATTAAAAACGCCTCGTGCAAAGGTGTAAAAACAGAAAACCAGTATCCCTTGGCTTGACATCCACATAAGAAACAATGGAAGAACCTTAACTATTCTCTAACACATCACTTGCCAAATCGGCCTCTTCCCCAAGCCATTCCTCGATTCCCACCACCATTGGGTTTTACATCCTTGTTCTTATGTGAAAATACCCTCATTCGCTCTTCCTTCATGTTCGCAAACAGTGAATCCAATGTTTTGGGCTTTTGATTTGTTACTGTGTTCCCTTGTCCCTCTTCTTGTTGCTGCCGTGGCTGCTGCTGAGGCAGCATTGCTGCAAAACCACCGTTTGCAGCCCTTTGGACCAGTGGTGCTCCAGTCCTGCACCAGAGAACCAAAAACCATGAATGGATGACAAAAACGTTACATAATAATATAGCAAGTCCAATGAGGAATTAGCTTTCACCCAACATGCCAGAAACCACCACCAAAATGTTGAGACTTGGGAATCTTATCAGCAGCATAGGAAGACTATATTTCCAGTAAACAGAAACATAAAACAAACAATTCTGTAATGTAGCTCCCTCTATTTTCCGCAAAGCTTTTTACATGATCATGCATGTAAGCCCCTCTTGAGATGCATTGCTACCCATGGTGAGAAAAAGCTTCAAATGCAGTAGCAGCACTAGGGGAAACCACATAGATAGATTCAACATACTCCCAACAAGCAGCAATACCAATTAGTGCAAACTCCTAAACCCCAACTTTAGAAGGAAATCAACACCACTTGAAAAGGTGGCATAAAAAGTGTCAAATTTACATCAAGACAACATAAATCAGCTTAAACTTTCAATATTGCCCAACCCAGTACTGCTCCAGCTTCGTTATCCATAGCTTCCATAAGGCACCATCAGCAACAATCTATTCACTTCACCAATATATTCTTTTCAAATAGCATATGACAGGATCAATAGATTTAGCAGGTTAGAGTAACCCTAGAAAAGATAAAAGGATGAAGCGTCAACAGTGGACTGGAAAAGGCGGGCTTTCAGACAGCCACAAGCTTCCCAACTAGTTAAAACTAGTTTAAACTGAAGGATGTGAGAGCTCCCAATGACTAAAGCCATCAAGGAATCTGAATTAATGGTTGACAGGCAAATGGCACTACAAAATCCATTTGTATGAGCACAAACTACTCGATTAACATTTCTAGACATGTTGACAATGACAATCATCAAAACTTGGTGTCATCCTTTTTTCTAAATCCACCTTCTTCAAACATTATAACCATGTTATACGTTTTCTACTCAATGCTTAAATGTCCCTACCAAAAGAGAAAACCAATTCCAAATTAGGCACCAATTACCTGAGAAAAGATGAAAAAGATGAAGCATCAACAGTGGTCTGGAAAAAGGGGGCTTCCAGACAGCCACATGCTTCCCAACTTGTTAAAACTAGTGTAAACTGAAGGATGAGGGAGCTCCCAATGTCTAAAGCCATTAAGGAATCTGAAGCTGCCAAAATTACTTGATAGGGTGATCAAAATCAATGGTTGACCGGAAAATGGCACTACAAAACATTTCTAGACATGTTGACAATGAGAATCATCAAAACTTGGTAGTCATGCTTTTTCCCCCCCCTAAATCCACCTTCAACAAGCATTATAACCATGTTTAACACTTTCTACTTGATCCTTCCATGTCCCCAACCAAAAGGGAAAACCAATTCCAAATTAGGCACAGATTAACCTGAGAACCTTTGCACAAACTAGCAAACTACTTTGGGTAGTTGAACCAAAAAAAGCCACACTTCAAGATAATCGCACATTCAGCCTTTTCCACAAGACATGTAATCAAATATTAGGAGTTCCACACAACATGCAACTTGAAATAAGTTAACCACGACCACATTCCAGAGGTCATCAATATTGTAGAAGGTCCATAATTTACCTGCAATGACTCGATGATAAGAATCCACAATCAGATAGCAGTGATTATAATTTAATTTTCAACACAACTATCCCAGCTATAAGAAATCACAGCTACTCTATGAAGCAACTATTGAATTATTTGACATCCACATACCTTGGTTTGTTCAAATTAGCCACCCTCCTACTATTAAAGGGTCTATTCCGAAATGGAGCAACTGCAGCCCTTTGGGCAGCTTCAGCTGCAAAAGGAAACCGGTTCCCCTGGAAATTAGACCTTCTTTGCGCTAGAACCCCCTGACTTACATAAATGGAGCAGAAACATAAGAATATGATCCAAAGTCCGAATGTGGAATTAGAAGATATGCAATTTTATCAACAGCAGCAATTAAAAATCACACACCTGTCTAAGAGAAGCACGCGAGTTCATGTACTGCTGTACCTTGAAAGCCTTATCTTTAGCACCATTCCTGACAGGTCTCTGACTTTTATTCTGATCAGAAGAGGAGAACAAATTAGAATATCAATTTATGCACAAGGAACAACAAAAATGTGTTTTCTGGAGTAAGAAATTTCTTACCGGTATTCTTCGCTGCTGCTGTTTCTTGCCTTTGTTTGAAGTATTTTTTGACATTTTAATGATATCATCTAAGTCCACAAAAAGGCCAAACAAATCAGAAACATGTTTACCCCCATAAGAAAACAAATTGAAAAAAAAGACATAAAACAGCTAAAAGCTCACCCAATGTCATGTCCATTTTCTTTTCCGTGAGGGAAATTGCTTCACTTGTAAGTGGTTTAGCCGCCATCTGAAGATGTAAACAAGCAATTAAACCACAACAATAGAAAAAAATAATTTGAAATAAATCAAATCGAAAGGAAATATTTCAAAATTAAAAACGGCCAACTCAATCTCAAGAGAAAAGACACACAAAAAGAAGTAATATCGTAATTTATACACGTATGTGCCATCGGAAAAGGTTCAATTTCAGAAACCCTAAAACATCTACGAATTAATCAAACGCTACGAAGAAATCATAATTCACGAAATCAACATATAACAGCAAAAAAACCCCTAAAAATGACAAATCAGATCAAAACTCGAAAAGAAGTCAACAAACAAACAGAACAGAAATCGATTTGCATACGATATACGACAGACTCATCAAAAAAGGAATAGAGGGATTGAAGAGAGAAACTTACCGATTCAGGAAAAGAGAGAGAGAGAGAGAGAGAACTAAACCAAATCTTCGATGAGGAAAGCCAAACGGATTCAATACTCAGTTAAAGCTGGGGATAGGGTTAGGGTTTTCGAAGTAACTTTTTTTTGGGAGCAATTTTTTCCAATGCTTTGGGTGCTTAGCGATTACGCCAAAGAGAAGACGAGTAAACGGATAAGAGAACTTGTTGGGTTTATAAAGGGCCGGGGGTATTGGCGGATTTCAAGCTCGATCATTGATTTTTTTTAATATAATTAGATTTCAAGTCCGCGTTTGATTGGGGACCAAGTAACTCAAAATCCCAATACAGCTCCGCATAACGAATTCACTATGGTTTTTTAACTATTTGACGAATAAGAGTCCGCCACGCCAGAGATCGTTAAGTTGGTTTATTGGAGAAAAGTCAGAGTTTTCTTATGTGGCGTGTTGTTATTGGTCATATTGGACAACAGAAATGGAGCTACTTTGTAGGACTCACTAACCATTAATTCCGAATTGTTATTCATATTTTATTCTAGATTAATTTGAAAAATAAATGTTTAGTGCATGTTAAAAAATATGGATGATATACACTTATTATTATTATTTTTAAATAAGGACATTAAAGATTTAAATTTATTATAAAATGTTATAAAATATTAATGATATATATTTAAATTTTTGATGTCATTATTTTTTTAAGAATATTAGTTAAATTTATTATTATTGTTTAATTTTAAAGAAAATTGAATGATTCTAAGTTAAATTTGTTAAGTTTAAGATATTTTTTAATGAAACAAACATTGGATCTACATTAATAAGGCTAAAAAAGAGTGAACCAAAAAAATATTAGGTTTGATCAACGACTTGATAACAAAGTGAACAACGATAGTTGTGTGTAGTAACTAGTGATGTGAGACTTTAATTGAATTCAGGAGTTAAATTAATATTTTTATCTAAAGTTTAGGTATTAAATCGATATTTCATCTAAAACTCATGAGTCATAAAATTTTATCTGCAATTTAACAGTTAAATTAAAAATTAAATCTTTTACTAAAACGCCACTTCATCTAACTAAAAACATTTAATATCTCATTAAACCAAACTAATAATATTCTCTATTTTTATTAAATAAAAAATATACCTACAATTAAAAGAAACGTCTAAAAAAATAAGGATAAACTAATCACATAAGTCAAGTATTCCCCTAAATCCATTAAAATATACAAATTAATTACCTAAGATTTTTTTTTTCTTTTTTAGAAAGCCATCTCGTAATAAAGAATGATCGAAATGGTTAAAAATCCAACCAATCAACTCAAACAAATAATGAACACAATTATCGACCATGAATGATAAATCTATATAATAATAATGGCTCATTGACAAATCGATATTATCATAATTCAATCGCGACTTATATTGAAAAATTACAAGCGTCTATTAATAGTCAATTTAAAAGCCCAAAATAGAGATGAATCAATAAGATAACCAAATAAATGTTATCTAGATATAGAGCGATGATGACATATTCAACTTTTGAGGAAAAAAATGTATTATAAAACCAGACAAAAAAAATACTACAAAATAGATAATATCATTTTTTTTATTTTTCATATGAAAAATAAAATATTAATTAGACAAAAAAATAACATAACTTAAATTTAAAAAATATGAGAAGAAAAAACTTAAATTTAAAAAATATGAGAAGAAAAAATTAAATATCAACGATAAATTAAAGATCGGTGATATTATCATTAATGAAAAATATAAAAAATGGTAAATTACAAATTTAGTAATTGAATTATCTTATCACTCCTATTTCACTTATTATATTTTTAATTGTTTTAATCTAATAACCAAACTGTATACATTAATTTTTTAGTCTCTCTACCGTTAATAAGTTAACAGGATAATGACTTGGCTTTATTAAATATTTTGTAATCATTAAAATATATAAAAAAAAGGTTAAAAGAAGGGAGGAGAGAGACAGAGAGCTCGGATGAGCTTGGAGGTGTAAATTTTTTCTTCAATTTATTGAACTCTGGGGTCATGTGAGGGAATGAGTGTAGGTTTTGGTGTGAGAGAAGCCATGAAAATTAAGTTCGGAGCTTGAAGGAATCGTAGAAATGGAGTAGAAGGAACGAACTCAAAAACAATGAAAAAAATTATGGTTTGAGAGTTGTAGTGAGGAGCAAAGGTGCTTATGAATATGATAGTGATTGAGTTGCTAATTGCCTTTAAAGAATAAGAAAACGAAAAACAAAAATACGTTTTTTAATGCACATTTATACTATAAAACTTATATATATATATATATAAAGTATAAGGAAGTCACGTAATCACTCTGTTAGTTAGTGATAAAACGATCAAGTGATAAAATATAATTTATGCATAGAGTTTAATTATTAAATTGAAAAAATTAAAAATATGATGAGTGAAATAGGAGTGAAAATATAATTTGATTATTAAATTTATAATGTAGTCTATAAAAAAAATGGAGAAGAGAGACAAAAGAAAGAACAAGTAGAGAAAACGGGAAATGATCACGTGCAACAACTTTAATATATGACTTAAAAAATGTGTTACTGGTTTTGTTATTATTTTTTAACAAAACCGGTAAAAAAATTATTGAAAATATTATTATTTCTACCGATTTTGTTATTATTGGACCCTTTATCAGAATTATTAAAAAATATTCATGTTTTAGGTAGAAATAATAATGTCTTAGGTAATCTTTTATCAATTTTATTAAAATAATAATAACAAAACCAATAGCCTCTTTCCTTAACCGAATTTTAAGGTGTCGCACGGTAGAACTTCTCAGAGAAAACGGCCAGGGTTAGTACAACTATGTTTAAATTATTGAATCAACTTCATATCTTATACTAGATATAAGTACCTCATAGGCGTGATTTTTTTAAGGGTAAAATATACCATTCTTCACTAAACTATAATTTTTTTCTTATTTACTCACTGTACTTTTAACTTTTTTAAATTTACTCATTGAATTTTTGAATTGTTATTGTTTTGATCACTATAAATTATTTTATTATTATTTATGCATGACATGAACTTTTTAATTATTATTTAATATAAAATAATTAAAAATACAAAATAAAAATAGAAGGTGATTGCATCGACCACCATCAACTGTCATAGATGGTGGTCGTTCGGTCTCAAATTTCATTAGTCTGTTTGTCTCGACCCTCCGAGACTGAATCTAGTAGTTGTTTCACCAGAAAATGTCTCAAAATCCATGAATATCGACTGAAATGTTTTGGCTTCCTCACTTTCGATTTCCAATTTATGGGCTTAAAAGTAAGTTCTGGAAAAATGGAGGGTAGGTTCGGGATGAAACGACCCAAGAAATTTGGGATCGAACGACCACCATCTACGACGATCTATGGGTAACCGACGGTGGCATCTGACTACATTTTGTTTTTATTTTATATTTTCAATTATTTTATATTAGATAAAAATAAAAATGCCACATCATATTGAAATAATAAAAAAATAATTCAGAGTGATTAAAACATGAATAATTCGAAAGTTCAGTGAGTAAATTAGAAAACTTAAAGTACATAGAGTAAACAAGAGAAAAAGTATAGTTCAATGAGAAATTGTGTAATTTATTTTTTTAATTAATGTTGATAAACATTTATTGGAATTCAAATATGAGATTAAATATAGACAAATGAATTTAAAATCAACCTTGAAAAGTTAACTTTTTATTACATAAATAAGTTTAATAAATTATACTGAAATAGTTTGATTTTTATCTCAAAACGAGTTTGAATTAATCTTGAATTTCAAACTAAGTTCGAAAGTACTGTATTTACTCCCTAAACAGGAAGGTCTGAATATTAATATAAATTAATCCTTACTGAATGGTGTTGAACTGCTAACTAAAACAATAAAATATATTTTTTTTGGTTGCCTTCCGATGTTCTAAGATTTTTTTTGACTATCTGAAATGATTTTTGTCATACACTTAATTTTTTATAGGTGAGTTTTTTAACAGAAATTTTGTGCACACATAAAATTTCAAACTCTAGACATACTTAAATAATACCAAATTATTTACCGCTTGAATCAATCTGTTGATCAAACAATCAAATATAATTAATGAAATGTGAAAGAGATTATTATTCATCGAGTTTGGTTTGAGATAAGCAATGTTGTTTATTCTATAAATTATGCCTCGTATGACAGAAATTTCTGCAGCTAATGATTAATCATTAATGCAAACAAAAAGGTGCTTCATCAATTGACTCCATAGATCCATTTCTCTGCGTTGCTTCTGTAGTTAACCAGTTCTTGTGGCTTGAACCATAAGTTGATTTCATCCTTTGCAGTCTCCGGACCATCACTCCCGTGAATTATATTTCTGCATTCCAAAACAAACCCTCCCCGTTTTATAATATGTATTTGTAAAACTAATACTATATTTCAACGATGGTCGGCCTTATACCTTCCGACGACCACTGCTAGATCGCCCCTGATGGTTCCGGGCTCCGATCTCTGAGGATCGGTTGCTCCGATTAGTTTCCGACCATATTTTATGAATCCCTCTCCTTCCCACACCATTTGTTTTATGGAATTTTAATTCAGATACGTTGGTAACAAATAAAATGAGAAGATGATTTTTTTTTTTTACCATGGCAATCACAGGTCCTGAACTGAGGAATCCACAGAGGCCATTGAAGAAGGGTCTGTCCTTCAAGTCATGGTAATGTTTCTGAGCAAATTCCTTTGAAGGAACCATAATCTTGATAGCCACGAGCTTGAACCCTTTGCGCTCAAAACGAGATATGATTTCTGCAATCTGCAATATATATACAAACATAGGGTCCGTTCGATACACTGTAATATAATTAATAAAGATAAAAAGAATGTTACCAGCCTCTTTGTACTCTATCAGGCTTGATAGCAATGAAGGTGCGCTCATTCTGAATGATGAAAAATGGAATTAAGAAATAATGAACATATATAAGCAATAACTATAAAATCGAATATGTGATGGATTACCTCTGCTGCATGAGCCTCCTCTTCCTGAACCATGTAAGCTACAAAGATATAATGCAAAACAAACATTCAGTTCATTGTTTTTACTGCATTTTCTTTTCATTTCTTTTTATGTCATCTAACCTGCCACAGGAAGAGCAAACACTCCTGAAAGCCATCTTCTAGATGCATTGGCAGAACCACCATTTCCATAAGCTGAAGCTAAAGGAGGCACCTTACTGTTAACTGAAACTGCTGCTGCCGCCGCCGCTGCGGCCACTGCTCGCCCTTCTGCTGCCGATAACATAAAAATTAGATACCTTATTTGTAACACCCCAATTTAGGGGCTAAAATTAATAAATTATAAAGTGGTGGATTTAATTGGTATTTGGAAGAAATTTGGGGATTAAATTGTCAGATTTCAAAGATGACAGACCATTTTAAGAAATGCATGAAGTTTAGTGGCTAAAGTCATGATTTAACCAATTTTTATATATGTTGAATTATAAGTTCCCCCGTGCGCAGGTTCAGCGGAAAATTTTTCAGTTTTCCTCTCCCGTTCTCCCTACTTCGAACTCCGATCTACTCGCCGTCCGACCTCCGATCGACGAGCCGAAACCACCATCGTGTTCGTTGTCAACCGAGGAACAAAACCCCTCAAACCTTTCGTCGTGAATCATCTCCGTTCGTCGTTAATTTCAGTCGGAAGTATCGTCGGTAATAACTCGGTTTTAGTTGGTTTTTCATCGATTCACAACGATCGGGTCATCCGTTTACGACACCTCCCGCACCATCATGTTCCTTGTGCCGTTCCGAGTCCACCGGTGTCCTCCCTTTTCTCCGGCGGCAGCGGCGCGTGTGGAGGTGAAGCGGTTAAAGTTTCCGATTTGTTGAAATCGAGCTCTCCGCCGTTCAAAATTGTGAACCGAGCTTTGTAAGTATCTCGAAATCGCTCAAAATAATTTTTAGAAATTTTTCCGGGATTTTATCACTGTTCACGCGCCCCCACGCGCCGCCACTGCGCGTGGGGAAGGGAAAAGTGACCGGTTTGACCGGTTTTGAAACTGTTTTGACCGGTTTGACCGGTCACAACCCGACCCGACCCGTTGACCCGACCCGACCCGTTTACCCAACCCGTTTACCCGACCCGACCCATTGACCGACCCGTTGACCCGTTGACCGTTGACCCGTTGACCGTTGACCGGAGTTGACCACTGTTGACCAAAACTTTGACCGGCTTTGATCGGGCATTAAACGACCTTTGACTTCGACCGAGTATACCTATCCTGACATTTTTCGACGTTCCAAATCCGATTCCGCTGTCCGTTTTTCGAAATTCGAACCCGAAGGTCTCGAAATTTCCGGTCAAACCCGTTGACTTTGATTTTGACCGAAAATTTCAAATTTCCGAAAAGTCATATTTTATGCTTTCGACGTCTTGAATCCGAATCCGAAGTCCGTTTCGCCAAATTCGAACCCGGTAAGCCGTCTTTCACTGATTTATCACACGATTCGATCCGTTTATTGTAATTAAGCTCCGTTTCTGATATAATTTATGTTGATATGTATCTGAGGAATTATTGGAAGTTGAATTGAAGATCAAAGGCATTCGAATGGAATTTTTATGGTCGATCGATATTGCACGAAAATCGAGGTAATACTTTACTACCTCTTTATGCTTTATAGAACATGTTGGTATTGGTAAATGCATGAATGAAAATGTTTGGTCTCATATGTGTAATTAATGAAGTTCTACACTCGATCTGAATACGGTAAAAAGGTTCAGTAATTGATTATGGTTCAGATGACTTTTATAAGAAATTAAGGGATTGCTAGAATTAAATTACAAGTTATGTGCTTAGTGGTAAAGAAATCAACCTGGATCTGTAACTTGTAATTTATTTCATCAAAGGTTAAATGTTAAAGGCATTTGGATGTGAATTTATAAAAATACTCCGGTAGGGTAAAATTACGAAAATACCCTTGTGTTATAAAAAGACAAGATTGGAATATGGAAGTTAGATAAGAGGATTTTACAGACATATTGATCTGATAAAAATATTGATGTGCATAAGAAATGATAGTTATACGTAGACATTATGGATAACCGGTTTTTAACCCCAAGAGGGTTTATGCAAGATACTAGAAGTGTGTTAAGGGAATTATTTCAAGATCAGAGATTGTTCAAGAAAGCAATTAATCATAGGATCTTTAAATTATATTATTTTCGTTAAGAGCTAATATCGAACTTATCTGGTTAAGAAATTACGGAAATGCCCTTAAGAGGTAGAATAGTCTGAGATGACTCTGAATGAGAAAATACTTAGAGGATTCGTACTTAACTCGATTAAGTACGGATTTAATTGTTAAGATCCCGACTTAGTGCAGGAAAATTTATGATATTCCGTTTGTAAAATCTGAGAAGGCACTTGACCCGAAAATATCTGAGAAATGAGTAAATACCTGAAGAATAATTTATCGGGGGTATTCTGCTGTCAGAATTATTCGAAAGGACTGAAACAAATAATGATATTGAATTAATAATAAGACCGAATGGAGGAAAAATATTGAAATACCGTGGATCTGTAAAATGACAAAAATACCCCTGTAATGGAAATGACTCAAGAATGTCACCAAGCTCAGGAATGATTGAATATCCTCGAGCTCTGAAATGAATGGAATAAAACTGAACATCAAAATTACCAAAATACCCTTATGGCCTAAATTTAGTAAATGTCTTGGATTAATTAAGGAATCCAAGTAAGCATAGGTATTGGACTACCTTTAAAGGTAATGGGAAATAATTTAAGTGAGTAGATCAACCCTAAAGCTATGTTAATACCTGAATGGCATAGATATTACTGGAATATGTGTTCGTCTTCTCAAGTTTGGCTCGATGACAAATTTTGGAAGTATTCAGTTCAGCTAAGATCTAGATCGTATTCAGTACTAAGAATTGGACGTTTGTTCGACAAATCAACCACAAAGACCAAATTGAATGGAATGGAAGTACAACATGTATCTGAAATTCAGGAACGTTTAAATTATTCGGGAAAATCCCGAAGTAACTGGATTGGACTTGAATGTTAAATGAACTAAGTAACCTCAATGACTGAGGATTAAGTAAGAGATTGGAATAAGTTTGGAAACTCGGATGAACTTATATGATATATCATCCCTATGGATTTTGAACCACAAATCAAGTACGTCAGCATTTCATGGTATAGTTGAAACATGGAAATAAAATAAAGACCATTAGAATATTTGCTTGTCTCCTTAAGATCTATTCAGTGATGACTCAGATGATGATTTATGGATAAGAATATTTGGTATTAAAGAGTAAATACCCTGAAAGGTTAATGAATTGACAAGTTGGTAAGTATTGGTTCTAGAAGCTATTCATCTGGAGTTATTCGATATTCGGATTAATCGTCATAGATTATAAAGATTCTGAATACCTTCAAATTTCGTAGAGCTTCAGAAAAGTGTTCGAATAAGATGATCCCGATGAATCATATCCTGAATAACCGATGATTTTGTCAGTTAACAAATTCTTCTAATAGTGATTCTAATTTCCGGCATTCTATTGGTAAACTGAAGATTTGCGTTTCTCTGCCCGATAAGATTATCCTGTATCTCTAAATAATATCTGGAAACTCTAGTGTGTTCCCTACTTATATGAATATTTTATCTGATTTCTGATTTGAATTCTGTTTAAACATCTGATCTGAAATCTGTTCTGATTCCTAACCTGGATTCTGTTATGATATCTGATCTGAATTATGTTTTGATTTTTGATATCTCCGTTTACCAACGGAGAAATGTTTTAAATGGGGGGTATTGTTGAAGGAAGAAGTTCCGCAGGTTCCTCGGCTTTGTGCTCAGGGCCTTACATGTTGTGTTGGGTTGGGTGTATGGTTCTGGGGAACCTACACATTATGTTGTGTTGGGATGGAGGTATATATATATATGTTTTAAAAAGATCTGAAAAGTTACATGGTTTTTGGGAATACACTAGAAAACCTATTCTGATATCCTGAACCTAGACATCCGAAATATTTCCATCTGGAATGAATACTATTTGTTACTACCTGAAATATCCGTAGAATCTCTGCTCAGTATAAAGATCTGTAAATGTCTGAATCGATAAGGAAAAATATGTTTATTTGTATCTGCACGTTCTTCAGCATCATCTGGTAGTTCTGTATTACTGAGCTTTCCAAAGCTCACTCTATTACTCACATTTTCAGGTTAAAAGAATTGTACCAGAGCATCTATCGACTTCAGTAAGGGAGTTCTTCCGGCGTTGTTGCAGAGTATGGTACATGTGATTAGGGAGCATGTAATTGTATTTTGATTTATATACGAGTCTGAAAATCTGTTTTATTTTTAAATAGCGACAAATGATTTTATAAGTTTGCATGTTCTGATAAAAAAAAGTTTTAAATTTTCCGCTATTTTTACAGTGGGTCGCTCCGGTGGCCCTAATGTGACACCCCGGATCGGATAGGGCTACCCTTATCGGTCTGTGGGGGTTACATTTAGTGGTATCAGAGCTATGGTTTGAGTCAAAATTTTCAAGTTAGACCGGCCGGTCGAATGTCAAAATATGTCTGATCAATACATGCCCCTAGACTGCAATCGTACCTCTCTGAGCTGGAACTCCAGGGCTGAGCCCCTATCTGTAATGAACAAACTGAAGTTTCTATCTGTTAAGGCTATACTTGTACAAAAAGGAATACCAGTAACATCTGTCTTAACGCAGTAAAGTACCTTAGCCATGTGAGAGTTATTCATCTGAGAAATTCTGACTCGACTCCAGAAATAAAATTGAGATATGTTGCTGCTCTACGAACCTATTCACGTAACCAAGGCTGAATTGATTTCACAAGGATAAAGTTGTTTTAATTATTTACTTGGACTGAGGGAGAATTCTGAAGAGATTGATTACTCGAGAAAATTTTCGTTCAGATTCTTTTATTGAAATGAGGAAAAGTTCTGATAAGAATGTATACTCAACTGATTAAGGATTAGTGAAGGATCTGTGTTTCTATAAAAGCTACATGAAAGATATGAAAGAACTGATGGAAGTTTCATTTCTACAATTATGTGACATTAATGAATTTCGAGGACGAAATTCTTTTAAGGAGGGGAGAATTGTAACACCCCAATTTAGGGGCTAAAATTAATAAATTATAAAGTGGTGGATTTAATTGGTATTTGGAAGAAATTTGGGGATTAAATTGTCAGATTTCAAAGATGACAGACCATTTTAAGAAATGCATGAAGTTTAG